CTGGCTCGGAAGCGGGCCCTACGGCGCGCAGCCTGGTGCTGCTGCCGTGAACGCAGATATCAGGAGTACCTGAAGTCCACGTCGAAAGGGAACTCGATCTGAAATGGCAGCACGGCACGAGGGAAAGAGAAAAGCCTTGCCACCTTGGCCGTCCCCATGCCACGACGTGACGGTCGCTGACGAGGGAGCACCACGGATGAGGCACATGATGATGACGAGAAGGAGGAGGCGGCGGCGGAAGAGGAGGAGGAGGCCTCCCGACGCGACCATAGACTGCGAACGGACCATGGCACAATGAGACGCGCATAGGTACTGACACGGAACAGCTGATGGACGGAAACAACGGGCTGGAATCGACTACATGCACAACGGAAGCAGTTTGCCTACAACGACACATAACGCGTGAACAACCATAAAGCACGAAGTGCGTGAGTGGGTGGAAACTTACATACACACGCGTTGCCCCCATCAAGACACACCGCCGCAGCGCCCCCGCTTCGGCGTGCCGGCAGTCAGCTCTGACATGGGGCGTGCCGGCGTGGTGCCAGACATCCAGCTCATCGCTGTGCCAGACCGGGCGTCGGAGCAGGGGTCGAGACGAGACGAGAGAAGACGAGACGCCGGATACGTCCCGGAGGACGGCCCCTATTGGCACGCAGCGGGGGAGGAGGAGGAGAAGGAGGAGGAGGAGGAGGAGGAGGAGGAGGAGGAGGAGGAGGAAGAGGGCGAGGAGGAAGCCGCTGAGGGCTAGGAAGAGGAAGAGGTTTGCGAAACCGCGGAGGCTGGAGACGACAACGAGGCAGCCGCTGAGGCTGGAGCCGAGGCTGAGGCTAAGCCCGAGGGGGACCCAGACATCGGGCCAGGTGAAGAGCCGCCGGACGATGAGGTGGGAAGAGTGTCGGAGCGTCCGAAAGGTACCTTCCTCTTCACTGCTGGATACGTCCCGGAGGACGGCCCCTTTAGGAACGCGGCGGGGGCGCTGGAGCGCCTAGATTTACATGAGGAAGTTCCTGTGCTGGTTGATGTTGTCGGAGCGTATGTCGCCACGCGATTTTCTGTTGCATTCCAAGCAACCAATCCTATAATACTTGAAATAAGACGTCATCCATCAACTCCTGGTCGCAAAGCAGAAATCGTTCCGAAAAACCTAAACGATTTGCTCAAAGGATCGCCCGTTCCGCCATGAAACATACTGCACGCTGTCTGCCGCATGTGGGTCCGATACACGTCGCCATAATACTTTTCGAACTCATCTCTCGTCAAACGTGTTTTTGGCGACTGCGGGCGCGCCGAAAGTATATTGCCTTATCATCCCTCCTTTGTCCAAAGCACCTGGCCAGAGCTCAAGCACCCTCAACCCTGAGACGGTCCCCGACGCGGTGACATACACTCTATTCTCCAGGCCCTGAAGGCGTCTTCATTCAGAGAGCGGCGAGGGGCGGCAGCACGAGGTGCGAGCCCCGAGGTGCGACCCCCTCAAGGTCGCAGGATCCTGCACAATCCTACTCTCCTACTCTGGTAAAATCGTTAGCCCCCTTCTTTTCGGGGTGGGTGGGAGGGTTCAAAAAGTTATCGCTTAGGCCTTCTACGAACAGGCTTAAAGTCATGCACTGCTGCGCTGGTCTCCTGGGGGCCGCTCCCGAGAGACAAGTGGACGCAATCCCCGCGGTGGCTCCCAGGGTCCACGCGCGCCAGGTATTTCAGGAGTCCGGCAGAGACGACGAGGTGGGGGCAGGCTGGCGACCTCAGGAGCTTCAAAAATGCTTGTGCGGCGCACTCCAGAACTCAAGTCCTAGCTCACTTTGCTGGGGAGTCAGACTGGCGCGAGCCTCTACTATCTTATGAGTTCTTGTATAGCGCTGCACGGACGAGAGTGATGCCCAACGTCCTCGGCGTCTGCAGCTCTCGAGCGCCCCGCCGTGCGCCACGAACTCTCCAGCAACTGCGTGCCTCATGTTGTGCGGCGTGCCGAGGGGCTCAGACCAAGCCTCATCATGCTGATCATCCACTGCCGTCGGTACTCCGAGAAACTCAAAGGGAAGACCACGTCACCAGAGTCGCAGCCCTCGGTGAGCCCTCGAAGCAGCGCCGTAGTCGTAGGCGATCCCACGTTCAGGCCCTGGTTGGAGCCCGTCTTCACTTCTTCCCCTCGACGTCGATCTCCGAACACCACTGCCAGATCTTCACCATCAAAAGCCAGATTCTCCACTCTCAGCGAAGCTCAGTCTTGTTCACGGCAGAAGGTATCGAAAGTGAAGAAGGCGACGCAAGCTGCCACCACTTTTCCTCTCCAGCAGGTCGGAGACCAGGAGGCCCAGCACCTCGCGACAGAAACTCCCGCCCTCTTGTGACATCTTGAACGTCTGCCAGGCCGACAGGGCTCGCGAGGAAAGGGGCGAGTCGTGTCTGTGCTCGGGGAAGATGTGAACAAAACCAGTCAACAAATGGCCGCCATGAATGATTAGGTACTCCGTGCTGGCGCACATCCTTCAGCAACATTTACACCCACTTCGCATAGATCCTGTTGGTGCTGTCGGTGACTTTGTGCACTAGCAACTTGTTCACCAACAGCTCGAGACCATGGAAGGGGTAGTCACTGTGGCGATCCCACGCCCGTGAGCCCCTCTTGCGCAGCGGCACGAACGAGGACGCAGGCTTGGGCAGCTCGAAATTCCGCTCCTCGCCTGCCAGCTCCACATTTGGGGGGTGCGCCTTTCGCCCTGCATCTACCTGCATCACCATCGCGAGCATCGCAATCCAGACTACCAGTGGTGGCCTGCTCGCTGGCGATGCCCTGGAAGCCTCTGGAGTCGTGCCTTCACCGACCGCGGCAATCCCCGCGCCTGGGCCTTCCCCTTCTTGATCGTGTCCAGGTCGGGCCCAAGCGCTGCGCCCCGTGAGGGGCCGTCCGCCACGTTCCGCTCGGAGCTGACCCAGCGGAACTTTGGGCGAATCCCCAGCACCAACTGGATGATCCCACTCACTCTTGCCTGCCGCAACAGTGGCCAGGACGACGAGCGACCCTTGCTCTGGCAGCCCATCGTCACCAGGCTGTCGGTGACCACGACGACCTTCTGGTGCCAGTTCCTCCGACAATGCGCCAGACGCCGCAGCACCATCACCACCGTCCTGCACTCCAGCACGTTCTGGTGATCCTCGCGCTCCCAGGTCCCTGAGACCACCAGGTGCCAGAGCTCCCCGTGCGCCACTGAGTCGGGCACGCCCTCGGCCAGCGCCAGCCCTCTTGCTCCCAGCAGCAGGGGCCTCTCGGCCCGCAGCGCCGCCCCGGGCCTGGCCATCAACGGCGCCCTGGGCGCCACCAGCCTCGCATACTCCTCGCACAGCTCGTCCGGGTAAGGGCGCGCCTCCTGTGTCCAGCGCCATCCTACCTTGTCTGCGTACTCCGGGATGCCTTTCGGCACGCCTCCCCTCAGAGACCGATGAGGCCGCCCAGTGCGCGAACAGCAGCTCGCGCGTCCATGGCGTCGCCGACCGAGCACCGTCAACTCTGCAACGTCGGCGAGCACCCTGGTCGGCTTCCTCCACTCCGTCCCGAACATGCAGAAACCCAAGTAGATCAGGCGCGCGCCCTCCGACTCCATCACGTCCTTCAGCGGCGGGAACATGCAGCACAACGACGAGGCGGGGTTCTCCATGCTGAAGCCCGCGCCCCGCTTGATGCACTCCAGCATCACCTCCACCGCAATCATCGCCAGGTATGCGCCGTTGTCCGCCAGCTCCCGCTCGTCCTCGCTGAGACCCGAAAGGCCGCAGATCTCCGTCGCGCTCCGCAGCATGGGCACGCGCGCCCGGGACCGCGTAGCGCAGGGCGGGGCCAGATGCACGAGCCAGTAAATGCCCCTGGCCAGGTCGACAAGGAGCCTTCCCAGGTTCGACAAGTCCCCCAGGTCGTAGCGGGCCCCCTGCTCGATCTCCCAGGGCTCCACCCAGCTCGGGCGGGCTCGCCCGATCGCCGCCGACAAGCGAGCCGAGCCAGCGAACAGCTCGCAAAAGCCAGCTGCCCCTTCTCGAGCATCGCGCGCATGCTTCTCCCTCGCCCGACGCTGCCAGGTCGGAGTGACGTAGTCGAGCTCGTCCTCGCCGAGTAGGCCTCGTGAAGCTGCGTCGACCGCCCTTGCTCGTCGCCCGCCTCGCAGAAGGCCCTCATCCCGTTCACGTCCGAGCGGCTCGCCACGATGCCAAAACCGAGGTGGCTCGCGTCCGCCATGAAGATCCACTCGTGCCACTCGGACCCCAGGAAGGTCGGAACCCTGCGCAGTCGTCGATGAAGATCCAGTGCAAGAGCGACTCGCGATAGAGCGGGGGGGGGGCGCCATGCTGCGCCCTTCCTGCCACGCTCAGCCCGCCCTCGCCCTCCATCGCGTCCTGCAAGGCGGAGCGGGCGAAGAGCACCGCCCACGCGAAGCCCATGGGCAGCGCCCGCAGGCAAACTCGAACTCCATCTCCAAGTTGCTCGACGAGGTCCTGCCGCCCTCGCTTCTGCAGGTGCGCCCGCAACTCCTCCCCAGACACGCCCTCGAAGCCGAAGTAGCCCCACAGCCCCTCCGGCAAGAGCAGCTTGTAGAAGAAGTCCGGCACATCCCCGACGAAGCTGGCCACCTCCAGGTCTCCACGCACGCTCGAGCTCAAGTCGACCCCGCGCAGGGCCGCGGCCGAGCCCATGGCGACCCAGGGCGGACTCCTGAACCTCATGTTGGACCTCCTCATGTCCCAAATCAGCCTCGAGCTCCGCTGCCCCGTCTTCTCGTCGATCTTCTTCAGGACCGTGAAAACCTTCACCTCCTCCACCACCTCGTCGCACATCCCAAGCATGCCCGACTCGGCCAGCCTCTCCAGCAGATCCAGCTTCACCTGCTTCTGCTTCAGGCTGGGGTCGCTGCGCGGCTTGATCCTGCCGTAAGCCGCCCAGTCTACCTCGTGGTCACCGAGCACCATCGTCTTGATCGGCTCCCTCAGGTACGGGCGACTCGACGGCGACATGGTCTCGATCGGGATCGGCGCCGACCCCGGCGGCGGGAGCGACACCTCGTTGACCTTCATAGGACACATGTCGCCACGCTGCAGCCCCGCGGCCGCTCCCTCCTTCTCCTTCGCCTGATGCCATTCGACGGTCCGCGACGTCAGCTGCTTCAAGACTGGCGCTCCGTCGGCGAGACTTCCCCGCGACGCTCGGGCCCGCCAGCGACTCCAGAGGTCTCGCGCCACCTCCCTCTGAGCGGCCGAGGCCCCCCTCCACGCCGAACGAGCCCCTCTCGGAGTCTCGCCCCTCGCGCCGCCCAGCACCCCGCGGCGCGTGTGCGAGGTGGCGTTCACCGACCTGTTGACCCTCCTGATCGTCAAGCCAGTCTGCGCACTGGAGCTCTCCTCCTCCAGGTCCTCACCCGCGCAGAAGGGGGCCCGAGGCGCTCTGCGCAGAGGGTCTCAGATCCGAGCCTCCGCACCTGCGGGCCTCCGCGTTGAATCATCCCGAAGCACACGCTCCCGACGACAAGGGCCACCGACTCCGGCAGGCTGAAAAACTTCGCGCGCAGAGCCCACGCCGAAGTCGCAGAAGGGGTCACTCAGGACCGTCACCAAGATCGCGAACTTGAACAGGTACTTGAAGAGCACGAAGCAAAAGCGGCGACGCTCCGCACTTGCCTGCGCCCCTCCCGCCGCTGGAGAGGCAGGCAACCCCTACTCGGAGCTGTCCTTGCCGCCGTCGGGAAAAGCCATGTCGAGGTATTTGTTGAACAAAGCCTTCCGCTCCAGGCGCTTGCGAACCTCTTCGTCGGCATCCGCGATGGCCCAGTCGTCGCTCTCCAGCGCGACCGCGTCGTACTCATCTGACAGCTCCCACCGAACCTTGCTCGCCCAGCGCTTCCCACCTTCACCGCGTGGCTGCTTCCAGTCACTTTGCTTCTTCACATTCTCAAACGCACGGAAGAGACCGTACAGCCGCCTGCAGATGACCCCGACCGCCTGGCTGTTGACCATGTCCTGGTCGGCATTCAGCATCCTGTCCAAGATAGCCGCCATCAGCGCCATCTCGCTAGCCGCGTGGCATGACTCCAGCTCCTTGCACCGAACATTCTTGAACGTGGAACTTAGCACTCGTCCCGAACTTGTACATCCTAGCAAGGACCATCGGAGCAATCCGAGATTGAGACGGGCCGATGCTCCAGCCCGCATTCTCGCACTGCTTCAGCTGGGTAAGCATGGCGGCTCGCAGGTCACGTGCCTCCTGCTCCAGCTCCTGGATGTAGTGGTCCACCGACTTCCCCGGCTGCCCTTGCGAGACGAAGTTCTTCGCGGCGGTCGCACTCAGTCCGTCCAGTGAGTTGACCACTTGTCCTCGCGCAGCACCGCCTGAGCCGCCCTGATCGTCCGAGACCTGCCTCTCCTGCGCCACCAGCCTGGCCATCAACTTGTCGATGCCCCTCCTGACCGACTCATTCTCCTGCGCAGCTGCAAACTTTGTGTCCCCCTCGTCACCACTGTCGCTTGTCTTCTTGGCCGAGAGCCTCGCGATTTGACTCTGCAGCTCCGCCTGCTGCTCAAGAAGCATCCGCATACCTGGGTGCCTCATGAGCCCGTCGTCGTCATCAGTGTCGGAGGCGGCCGTCCCGAGGTCGACCGAACCGTCGCTGTCTGAGTCCGTGACGAAACCGTCCCCGTTGAAGCGCTTCTTCTTCTTCATATCACAACCACCAAGGGAGTAAACAAGCATAGCGACGAACCCCAGGGCAAGAGCCCACAAGATCATCGAATCAAAGCCTCCCTCTTCCCAGCGCTCAACGAAATTATCATAGGCATCCGTCACTCTGTCAGCCGTCTCAGAGGCCGACCTCAGGACATTCATGCTGTCGTCGACCAGTTCGCCTATCCCGAAGAACTTCCACGCCTTGTAAATCAGCAAGCACCCGAGGCCAAAGGTCCCCACGAACTTGTACCTCCACACGGCCCCGCCGACCGTCACCACGGTCTGGGCGAGCCACCAGACAAAGTTCGACTTGCTCGACCCCTTGCCCTTGGAGGACCTCTTCCCATTGTGCTTGATATTCTCCTTCTCGGGCTTGGCCAAGCCAGTGGGGATCGAGAACCACGAGTCTCCAGCAGTCCTCCTGATCAGCTTCACCGAAACTGCCTCCGCCTTCTCCTTCTGCTCCGACGTGAGCCCGTCGAAAGGGGCCAACTGCCACCTGGCCTTGGGCTTCGCGTGGATCCGCTGCGACCTGAGGTCCTGCAGCTGCGCCCGCTTGGCAGGGTCGACCACCGTCCACGTGCCGACCTTGCCCAGGACGGGGTGCACCAGCATGACAACCACCGCCGCGTCGTCCCCCGTCTGCAGGTACGCTCGATTCCACTTCTTCCACACCATCTCTAGGACCGAACTCGGCAGTCCTTTGGCCTCGATCCCGGGCGATCAAGATTGAATCAATTTCAACGCCGAAGTCAACCTCCTCACCAGCGGACCCCGCCCAGTCGAAGCCTGAATGCAGGGCGAACTCGGAATCTTCCTCCGCGTCGCACTCGTCTGAGTCGGCCTGCCCGTCCTCACCGCCCCACGGCGGATTCTCGTTGAAGACGAGGACGAGCAGGCTGGACAGCAAACAAAAATACCTGTTCGTGATGGCGGCCGGCCTCCTTCCTCGCCAAAGGCCGAGAGAGCTCAAAGGAAGAAGGGGGCTTATCCTGAGAGCTTGATCATGAACGATTATGGAACAGACGGCCAGGCGGAAGAAGGGACGCGGGGGAGATAAAGACAGTTTACAAACATACAATACTTCGCGAAAAGATCACGTCCATCATTCCTGAGATTATTGTTCTTTCTGCGCCCAAGGATACACACAATATCCTTACAATGGTCTGACACGAGCTGAAATGTTGATTGTTCCTTCGAGATCGTTTTCGAACAGGATCCCCACACTCCCGAATATAATATCGAGTCCGAATCTGTGTCTATGCATTGTTCGCCCTAAGCTGTTTTATCGCAGTCCGTCGCATTCGAATGTTTGCTAATTTCTTCACTCACACTCATTTATGAAAAGGGGTTCGGCCTGAGCCTTCCGAGAATGATGCACGCCAAAAACATCGTCATCTCCCTTGCGTTCATCGCGGTCGGTATGGGAGCGCTTCCGCCGGACGCCTGATTTGCCAGATGTTGCAATGAACAAATCGATATTGTCCAATTTTGCCGAAGGTGCGCCAAATACGTTGGCGTGCTTCTGTCTCGTTCGGCCGACCGTTGAATTCAGAGAGCTTCTCCGGAATGCAACCAACACGCTGCTGGCAATGACTCACTGTGCTTGTCAACATGTGCCAGCATCCCGCTACGCGGTGCACTTGACAAATAACCTTGCAATCATTTGCACTCAACTGCTCAATCTGTTCAGTGTTATCAGAAACCGCATCCCCGATGTTTGCCACTTGATTTGTCAAATCCGCTGGCATGTGCACGCTGTCGATAATACGGCCTAGTTTGTCAGAAATGCAATGTTTCATTTTATGACGTTCCTGACGTCGCTGGGTACACGTTTGCATGTCATGTTCACCGCGAGTTCTTTTTCCTTTGCCAGTCTGCCGACCAACGCTGGGGCGCCATTGCAAGACACGCCGCACGCAATAACGGGGGCCTACTATGTCAATAGCTCGCTTAAGCCAACATGGAACTCAAACCATCAGTGTCTTGAGCCAAAATGGCTACGGAGCAGGGGTCGGTGCAGGCGTCGGGGAGTAGGAACGTTGAACATATGACGAGGACGAGGGCGTGGGAAGCACAAACAACGCAAGCATTGTAGCTAGCTGGCGTCGGAGCAGGCGTTGTGGAAATCTGGGAGGTCGACGCGTCGTTGTACACAGGAGCCGCTGACCCTCGCAAGTCTTATCCGAAGCGGAGGTCGGAGCGCAAAGCGTGTGATCATTGCCCTGACTAGCGTCGCAAGGAAACACAACGCTTGAACAAGCATGCGCCACGAAGTGCGCAATTAAGCGGATGGGAGCTTACACGCAGGCGTTGGCCCCATCAGGGCACACATCCGCAATGCTTCTACGTTTCGGCACGTCTGTGGTTAACTCAAACTTGTGGTGTGCCGACGTGGTACCAGTCGGCGGCGGAAGTCCCCTGGACTTCTGAAAATTGTCAAAGCCTGCCCCGAAGACACAGGACACCTCTCGGAAGGCCGGAGGCCTTGTGAGAAGCCCCGCGTCTTCTGAGGAGGCCTGCTCCTTTTCACTTCCCCCCCTCGCTCGTCGCCGTACCTGACATCCAGTGCGCCTTTTTGGGCGTCGGAGCAAGCCTCGGAACAGATGGCATTGCCCATCAATGCCATACTGCGCCCCTCAGCGACTGCCTTCACCTCTCCTTTTCCTCCTCCCCCTCCTCCTCCTCCTCGTCCTCGTCCTCGTCCTCCTCCTCCTCATCCTCCTCCTCTTCTCATCATCATCATTCATCATGATCAGCAACATCATCATCGTCATCATCATCATCATCAGCATCATCATCAACCGCCTCCTCCTCCTCCTCCTCCTCCACCTCCTCCCTTCTCTCTCCTCTCCCGCCTCCGTCTCCGCCCCCATTGCAGCTCCACGTTCGTCCGCCTCCGCATTCTGCATCCTGCCTTTTCCGCTCCGCCCCCTTCCCTTCCTCCCTTCCGCCCCTCTGTCACTGCCTTTTTTTGTTTCTCTCTCTCTCTCTCTTTCTCTCTCCCTCTCTCATCCTCGCCCTCTCTCCCAACCCCTCCCTCTCTCTCTCTCTCTTTCACCGTCTCCCCCGCCCCCTCTCACGTCTCTCCCTCTCTTCCTCCGTCCCTCCCTCCATCCCTCCCCCCCCCCTCACCCCGCCTCCTCGCCCCCACCGACCTTCCCACCAAAATCCGCCCGCTGGGGAAGCGCCTCTGCGCAGAGGACGCAGCAGGCGAGGTTTCTGGCGCCTCGGCTCTCTCCAGGACGCCCGAGGGGGGCACAAACCAAGCCTCGGCGCACCGCTTTCAGGGCCCTGTCTCATCTCGCATCGCTCCCCCCCCTTCCCCGCCACTTCTCCCCCGGGCCCCCGCGGGCCTTATGGTCGATCTCCCGCTGGGCGGTCTCCTTCTTCATCTCCGCCTGGAACCTGGCGGCGCGACTGGCGCCCGGCCTGCCCGCGGGCCGCTCCGGAGCTGCGCCTTCCTTCGCGCCCCGCCCCGGCTGGCCCGCTGGGGCTCGGCAGTCCATGCGGGCGCCCAGTGGCCCCCATGGCCCTGGCGCCCCCCGCCCTGGCGCGCCCGCCGGGGCTCGGCAGTCCCCGCGGGCGCCGAGCGTCGCGCAAGGCACGCGATGAGGGGGAGGCGAGGCGAGGCGAGGGCGCCAGAGTCGGGCACGCAAGTGTGCCCGTGCCCTTTGGGCCAGGGCGCAAGAGGCCGCGGCCTCAGATCGTGTCCGAATAGACGTCGTGGACGAAGTTCCTCGATAACCAGCGCGCAAACCAGGCAAAGAACGATGTGCGTGCGAGCCGGGAGAAGTAGACGGCGTGACAGAGGATGTAGGATGTTCATGAACCTGGTCAGGATCGAGTCGGCGTGGTCGGTGTCGTGGCTGCTCTTGTTGATGGTCGTCGGTAGTCGGTGCTGTATGCCGGTGTCGCTGCTGCGTTGCTGTTGGTGTTGCCGTCGGTGTCGCTGTCGGCGTCGCTGTGTTAATGTCGACGTTAATCGGTCGATTGGAATCGTCAAGGGTAAAAGTCTCATTTAGGAATTCCAATGGTTCCGTGCCTGTGTCGGCCAGATCGGTTATCATCACCATCACCGTTTTACCATCACCGTCTTGGCACCAAAATTGTCCCTTCTACGAAGTATATCAACATCATCGGTGGTGTAGTTAGTCGGTGTTTTTATAGATTCGGCGTTGTTGTGCTGCTGGTGGTGGTAATGGTCATTTGGCGTCGGCGCTGGAGGTCAGGAAAAATTATTGGTGCAACTGGCGCTTGGGAGTTTGCGCCCTCAGCTGTTGTACAAAATGAAAGCACTCTCAAGAGAGTCCCACCATGTGGTGTCTGTCTCGGCTGTCAACCATCTCACGTCGTTACTGTCGTAGTGGAGATATCGTCGTGGATGGATGGCGTCGTTGGTGTCGCTGTCCGTGGCTTCGTCCCTGGTGTTCGCGTGCAGGCTTGCCGAAAACTTCCTCACGTCGTCGTCCCATCTTTTCTTTTGGCCTCCATGCTGCCAGTGGCCTTGCTTTTTTGCGTCGAGGCTGGGGTTCCAATTCAACACAAGGTGTGTCCATCGGTTCTGCGGATGGCTTGAAACGAGTGCGGCCTAACGCCAGACCTTTGCGCGATGTATCTGTACTACGTCGGGGATGTCGTGCTTGCTCCTGAGCTCCTCAGCACTACGTGTGCTCCGGCGGATGCAGTCCGACCGCTGCTCGTCTTCGTCTGTCGTCTGCTCGTGGGTCTGGCGTGCGTCACTGTTGTCTTCTTGTGAGCTGGTCTGTTCTGACGGAGAGGGGGGGGTGCTGGATGCGTCGTGGTCGCTGGAGTCGTCAGGGTGGACGCTGTCTGCGACGTGGTTGCTGTGGCTGTCTGCTGTTGGTGCGGCGTGCGTTCGTAAGGTGACGCTTGTGCGCCTTATCGGAGTTCCGATGATCGCCCGAACCATCCGTCGTTGAGTGCGGCGTAGCTGTTGTCGGAGTGGCTCTGTCAAGGTCCACGCTTCCTCGCCGTATGTCATCGTGGGAATGACGGTGCCTCGGAAAAGCCTGAGCCTGTGTTTGAGTGGGTAGTGCTTGCTCGTCAGTTCTTGTCTGTGGACTGTGAAGCATGCCCACGCAGCTTGGATCCTGTGTTGGATCTCGGTCGCCGCGGCATCTTGGAATGTAACCGTCTGGCCGAGGTATGTCAACTTCCCAGTGCGAGGCATTATTGTAATGTCCATGCTTGCGACGCTGGTAGACCGAGTCCGGGTCTTGGTTTGGTTGGTAATGATTTTTGTTTTGGTCGGGCGTATTTCGAGGCAGTGTGGTTTCGCTGCTGCGACCAAGTCTGCTAGTAGAGTCCTCAGGTTGGGTAGCGTTTGGCTAACTAGTAAAATGTCGCCGGCGAAGCGGAGGTTGGTGAGAACAAATTGGCTGGCGTGCGCCAGTTGGATTCCTCTTCGTCGTCGCTGCCCTTCCGGAATGAGTGGTGTTAGAACGTGCTGTAGAAGGGCGTTGAAGAGCAAGGAACTTAAAGTGTCTCCTTGCTTCGTGCCGCGTCGTAGTTTGAACGGTTTACTCGTGGAGTCGGTGCGTACTACGGCCTGTTGGTCGTGGTAGAGGCGTTGGAGTAAAGTGGACGTAGTCGGGCGACACGCCCTGGTGACGCAGTGCTGCCCATAAGCTGTCGTGTTCCACTGTGTCGAATGCTTTTTTGAAGCCTACTGCTGCGATCCACGGAGCTTGATTCCATTCAGAAGCCCGTTCCCGAAAGATGTTAAGTGTGAAGAGGTGGTCGCGCGTGCCGCGCCCAGGTCGGAAACCTGCTTGGTCGTCGGGCTGGTGTTGATCAAGTACTTGTGAAAGCCAGTTGTATAGCAGGCGGCTGAACAGCTTGTAGAGCATAGGTGTAATACATATTGGGCGGTAGTTTTGCGGGAGGGAGAGAGAGAGAGAGATCACCCGATTTGAGAATGACTGTAATCACCGTCTTCCGCCAACTTGCTGGAGTCGTGGCGTTTGGCTGGATGACCACATTGTACAACTGTAACATGGCATGTTGTAGTTCCTGGCATGGGTGTTTGAGCATTTTTGCCTTGATTCCTACGTCGTCAAGTGACTTACCAGTCTTGAGCTGCGAGATTGCTGCTTTGAGCTCTTTGGCCGTGAAGGGTGGGATGTGGCTCTAGATGTCGCTCGTGGTTGGTGGTGTGTCGCGGGTGTTGGTGGAATTGTGCAGCTCCTCGTAGAAGTTCGCGAATACGTTGGCGATCCCTTGGCGGGTAATGTGATTGGTGCCGTCGCTCCCATGCATCTCTGTGATCAGAGTTCGCTTTCGTCTCGTTTTGATGGTACTGATGCGTTTGAGGTCTCTGTGCTGCTCCAGAACAATTCTTATCTGCTGTCTCCATTCGCTGCGCTTTTGTTGTCGGATGAGTGTTTGCATTTTTGTTGCTAATCGTTCGTCTTCTGGTCGTGTCTGCCCTTGGAATGCCCTTGCGCTGGTTCACGAGGTGGGCGATGATGTCGCCACGGTTGCGGCCTAACTCGTCGCTTCTGCCGGTGTCGGTCGCCGCTGTGGGTGGTCGCGTCTGCCCGTTGGTCGTGCTGCGTAGCATGGCATTGTTTAGGCCTTGCTCGATGGCGCCGTTAAGGTCGTTTGGATCAGCAGGTAGACGGTCGCCCTGTAGATTGGCTTTCAATTGCCTTCGGTACTCGTCGGGGTCCGTGTGCTCCCATTGTTGGTTGGTGGAGCGTGTTTCAGGGCGAGGTGTTCCCAGCGGCCGTCAGTCTGGCCGAGGGCAGGTACATGCGAGGCAACTGCTGGGGTTTTGCTGGTGGAGCCCTGGAGGCCCCGTGATCTGGTTGAAATGACCTGGCTCGCAGGCCAGGGTGATTTGGGGTAGAGGGGCCCCGTCGCTGACCCGCGGTGGTGTGCGTCAAGCACCGTCGCGGTGACAAGAGTTCTCTCTCCGATGGCCCCCTGTGTTTGCTCTGGCAGGACTGAAGGACCTCACCCCCCTTCTTCCTCTGATGCTTGCGCAGGAGGAGAAGGAGGAGGAGGAGGAGGAGGAGGAGGAGGAGGACGAGGTGGTGGAAGAGGAGGAGGAGGAGGAGGAGGAGGAGGCCCAGACTCAAAGAAAAACGCCTCCTCCTCCGACCCTGCGCGCCGACGGGCCTTCTCGACGGCACACCCAGACGGAGGATCCCAGCAGCCCGCCCCTTCGGCCGCGCAGCGGCACCCGTCGCCCCAGCGTCCGCGGCGCGCGGGGGCGCGGCAAACGCACCGCCTGCGCCCGCGCCCCTCGCCCCGACAACCTGGCGCCCTCGCCCCCCCCGCCCGCGCCCTCTCGGGCTGATGGGGCCGCCTCTGCCTCCCTCTTCCGCGCTCCAACGCTGCCCGCCCTCGCGCGTCCTCCCTCCCCCCCTCCCCTGCCGCCGCCCTCGTGCCTTAAGCTTCCCTGGGAGCGCCATCCTCGCCCGCCTTATCTTCCTGCCCCCCCTCCGCCATCCCCCCCCTGCTCCTCGCCCTGCGCCCTCCCCCCTCCTCCTGCTGCTCGATGTTTTTCGCTCCTCGTTCCTCCTCTTGCTCCTGCTGCTCTTCGCTCCGCCTCCTCCTCCTTCTCTTCTTCCTCCTCCTCCTCCTCCACCTCCTCCTCCTCCTTCTCCTCCTCCTCCTCCTCCGCCGCCACCTCCTCCTCCTCCTCCTCCGCCGCGCCCCCGTTCCACGTGGCCCAGACCCTCATTCCTCCTTGTCAGAGGCGGAGGCGGGTTTCTTCCTGCCTCTCTCTTTCCCCTTGCCCATCGGGTGCGGGCACCCCGCTGCCATTCGCAAGTCTCCAGCCCATGCGGCAGCTAGGGGTGTTCTATTCGTCTGCGGATCTTCCCCCGAGCCAAATCTCCTCCTCCTCCTCCTCCTCCTCGTCCTCCACGTCCTCCTCCTCCTCCTCCTCCTCCTCTTTCTCCATTTCTTCTCCTTATAAATAATTTCTCCCTGTCGCGCCCCGAGGCCAACTTTTAGGGCGGGTCGGGCGTTTTGCCGGAGACTTCCTCACCATTTGTGACTCTGAAGCTTAAACGTTGGCAACGGTTTCCCAGATGGAGGGCGGGTCGGCTTCAAAATGTGGCTCTCGCCTTAGCGCGGCGTAATTCGTTTTAAACATTGCAAGAGCTTTACTGATTGAGGGCGGGTCGTTTTCAAAATGTGGCTCTCGCCTTTGCGCTGCGCATATTCGTTTTAAACATGTGCGAGCGTTTCACGGATTGCGGGCGGTTCCTTTTCAACATGCGGCTCTCTCCTTAGCGCCACGCACATTCGCTTTCAACAGTTGCAAGAGTTTCGGGCATTGCGGGCGGCTCCTTTTCAAAATGTGGCTCTCGCCTAAGCGCCGCGCACATTCGTTTACACAATTTTCAGGGGCTTCACGGATTCCCATCATCAACGTACCAGAAGTGGTGTTATGGAAAGATTCAGGAGTATGCGGGTGCAACAGTTACGTTGATTATGTGTTGAAGTCTGAGGAATGGCGTTCTGCCGCGATTCAGGATCGTCAAGATGCAACAATCAGGTTGATCCGTGGCGTTGACATCCCCAGAACAATGTTTTGGCAGGCTTCAAAACCTTCAAACGGTTGTCTTCCAACGAGGCAGTTCCCTCAATGGAAATGAACCTTTGTAGGGGCCTATGAAGAGGGAGCTTGGAGGGAGGTTTGACTCCAACATCGTTGGTGACTCTTGGGTTTACACTGGTCCTCCTCCTCCTCCTCCTCCTCCCCCTCCTCCTCCCCCTCCTCCTCCTCCTCCTTCTTTACTGCCCCCTTAGTGGAGCGCCCTCAGGTCCAAAAGAGTCTTCAGCATGGAAGTGTGCCATCTCTCTTTCAGGGGATATTGCCCCCACCTCTCGCACTTCCTGGGCGCTCTCCTGGGTGCTCCCGCGGTCCCTCGCGTGACTGTTCCCCGAACCTCGGGAGCGTGGCTGGAGGCTTCAACCTCCGACGCGCTCTGAGCTGGTCCCGTGGGTCCGTGCGGGAGCCATCTTGGGGGTCCCTTGGGGTGCCTTGGAAGCCTCGGGAGCCGGCCCAAGAGACCAGCATCAGTGAAGCAGCTTAGGCCGTTGTCTGATTGTTCTCGGTCTTGATAACTTGATAACGATGGCCCAAGGGAGCCCGAACTGACGCCTGGAGGCGCCACCCTGAGGGGCGCCACCAGCACCGACGGCAGGCGCCCGAGAGGCTCCATGAGGCTCCAGGACACCTCCAAGGGGCCCCCCGGGAGGCCTCCCGGAGGCCCCCGAAGAGCACCCCCTCCCACCCCGCTCGCACATCTCTGGCCCGGGGCGGCGAGGGCCCTCGCCGCGCTCACGGGCTGCCGCGGGATGCAGCGGGGCCGAATCGGGCGCGCTGTTTTTTGTTCGGACGATTGCGAGTAGGCGCTTTGCGAGTAGCTGCGCACAGTCATGTGACTACCAGCAGGAAGGGCGGAGGAGGAACGAAGAGGCCCTTCCTGGCCATGGCGAGCCTCGGCCGCGATGAGGTTCGCCGACCTAGACCTAAGGAGCGGCCTGGGAAGCAAATCTCCTCCTGAACCCAACGTGGTCCTTGTTCCAGCGCCTTGCCTGTAGAGTCTGCGGGCGGGCGTGCCGGAGAACGTGCACAGAGCGGCGCAAAAAGTCCTTGGAGGAGCGGAGCAGCAGGCGCGGGGGGGGGGGGGGGCGGGAGGCGGAGCGCGCTGCAAGCGAGGGAGCACGCTCAGAGCGCGCAGCTCCCCGGAAACCCAGCGCCTCGAGCTTTTCGCAGCACGGGGCACGCGGAGGTCTGGACCCGTTCCCCGGGGCCGGCTCATCATCCCGAGTCGTTGTTCGACGGCCCCGGGGTCCTGCAAGGGCCCTCAGAGGCCGAAAGTCATGAAAATCTACGCCTCGAGTTTCTCGATGGTGATGGTGATGGCGATGGCGATGGTGATGGTGATGGTGATGGTGATGGTGATGGTGATGGTGATGGTGATGGTGATGGTGATGGTGATTGTGACGGTGATGGTGATGGTGATGATGATGATGATGATGATGGTGATGATGATGATGATGATAATGATGATGATGATGATGATGATGATGATGATGATGATGATGATGATGATGATGATGATGATGATGATGATGATGATGATGATGGTGATGGTGATGGTGATGGTGATGGTGATGGTGATGGTGATGATGCTGATGTCTATGATGACGATGCGGACGTGCGGAGGGCAGGGGCAGGGATGGGAGGAGGGGGGGGGGCGGAGGAGGGAGTGAGGAACGCGGGGCGCTCTCTCTTCAAGACGAGGACCCAACACCACAGGATGGTGGGGAACTCTGCGAAAGCTGCGCCCCGAGTTCCTCGAGGCTTGCGAGGGCTGGGCCTCCGGAGGCGCGGAGCGCGGGCCGAGGAGAGCACCACGCGCGCACACGGGCGGGACACCGCGGGACGCGAGCTGCCCGGCGGTGAGGGCTCCGGTCCTTGCCTCCAGGCTTTCGGCTAGCACGGGTCTCCCAAGAGAGCCCCACGAGGCCTCCAAGAGGCCCCCGAGAGGCCTCCCACGAGACCCCAAGGGGGCCTCCAAGAGGTCTCGGGTCCACGACCCAGGTACGGTGGCGGAGTGGGCCGGAGGCCACTGGATCCGCCGCCCCCTGTCGATTCATCGCAGGGGTGCCTGGCGTGCTTGACCCTCTCGGTTTTGGTTTTGGTTCTTTTTCCAAAAGAACTCTCCCAGTGGGTTTCGGCCCGTCCCGCCGGGGTCCCGGGAGGCCCTTCCACGTGCACAAACTCCGGAAAAAATCCTCCCTGAAACGGCCGCTTCGCTCGGGACATCCTCAAACAAATCGCGAAGATGGCCCAAGATGGCCTCCAAGTCCGCCCAAGATGGTCCAAGACGGCCTCCAAGACGGCCCAAGAGAGTCCAAGACGGCCCAAGAGGCCCCCCAGAGGCCCCCCAGACGGCCCAAGAGCCTTCCAAGACGTCCACCAGGAAGGCCCGAAAAGGCCAAACTCATTGATGTTCCGTAGGTTTTTGAAGGATTTTGGCATTTGCGCCTTTTCGGCTTTCCGACGGCCCAAGACGGCCCAAGAGGCCCCCAAGATCGCCCAAGAGGCCCCCAAGAGGGCCCCATGACGACCCAAGTGACCTCCAAGATGGCCTCAAGAGGGCCGCAAGAAGGCCCAAGAGGCCTCCAACACGCCCAAGATGGCTCCAAGACGCCCAAGATGGCCTCCAAGACGGCCCCGAAGCGCCCCAAGAGAATCCCCCGTTGGCCCAGAAAGGCCGCCAAGACGGCTCCCGACGGCGTCAGACGTGCCAGGAATTCACCAAGATGGCCGAAGTTGGCTCGAAGCTGGCCCAAGACGGCCCAAGAGGCCCCCAAGAGGGCCTCCAGGAAGGCCAGAAGAAGCCAAAAACATTGATTTTCCTTAGGTTTTTGACGAATTTTGACATTTCCTTCTTTTCGGCCTTCCGACGGCCCGAGACGGCCCAAGAGCCCCCAAAGATGGCTGAAAGATCGCCCCAAAGGCCTCCAAGACGGCCAAGATGACCTTCAAGATGCCCACGTGTTCCCCGAAGGCTTTCCAAACTGATTCGGGGAACACATGGTCCGATGGTATGGCAGGTCTGGCCTCAACGTTCGGCCACATAGGCGCTTCCAAAAAGGCAGGGGGCGGCGGTGGTTCGCCGTAGGCGTCTTCGATACCCTCTCTCTCTGTCTCTCTTCTCGCTCGCTCTCTCTCGCTCTCTCGCTCTCTCTTCTCCTTTTTTATTTCTCTCTCTCTCTCTCTCTCTTCCTCCTCCTTTCTGCCGTCCTCCCCTCCCTCACTCTACTCCCCCGCTGCAGTGCAGCACTCTTGCTCAGCGTGTCGCCGCGGCGGCCCCGGCGACGCGCTATGCCCTGCAAGCGGATAGCTGTGTGGCTCCGCTCCGCTCCGCGGGGTAGGAGGCTGAGAAAAACTCAGGGCGTCGACTCTGAGATGCTTGGTGACGAGAACCGCCGCCGAAGCGCGTCGTGTATCATCGTCGTCGTCGTCTTCGTCGTCGTTAGCGTGTCGCGCCGAAGCGCGGAAGGCCAGACCCCGCGGCGCGACACACTGGGCAGACGTTCCTGACCGCAACCTCGCTCGATCGATGCCTGCCGCCATCTCGTCCTGCCCTCCACGTCCAAGCCCCGACGCCCCAGCAGCCCGGGCAGGGCCTGGTGATGTCTGCGCCCAGCTGCGAAACCTCGGCTCCGTCCGGCGAATGGGGCAGGTTCGGCAGGAGGTGCGGCGGAGGACAAATATGAATGTAGGAGGGTGCCTGAGAATGAGGAGGAGGAGGAGGAGGAGGAGGAGGAGGAGGAGGAGGAGGAAGAGGAGGAGGAGGAGGAGGAGGAGGAGGAGGAAGAGTCCACGTCGCCTGGGGGGAACGTGTCATGCAATCACTCTACAATCGATTGCCTGTATGAAACGGCGCGAGCCGAGATATGGAACGGAACGTGCGAGATGGTGTCGGGGGGACGACTCCAGCACGGTCCTGAGAAGACTGGCAAGCGAGCAATGCCGAATGCTTGGCCTGGGTGGTAATGCTATAAGTGCCGAGCAAATGCGGTTGGCAGGCAAGCTCGGCACGCAGTTTATGGAAAATATGGAAACTCAGAGCAGTCAACTTGTGAGCCCGCTGTCTCGAGATCTCAACAGCGGCATAATCGTCATCCGATCCGAGGCCGAGACGGACCACGGGATCGGAAGGAAGAAAGACGCGACCAGGGACAGCAAGGAGGTGGAGCAGGCGGGGACAACAAAGATAGTGAGCGAGGGAATCAGGGGCATGTTCGCAGCCAAATCTGAACGACAGCGGGGTCAGTATGTGGACGCGCCGCGAGGTGATCCATGCTCCAGCGAGCGTCTTCAGGTGCGCCCAGACCCGCATGGGCGTGGACGAGATCAGAATGCGTTTCAAACCAGCCACCGCACCCTCAGCTCGTCAACACAAGGAGGGGCATCAGGGTGGAGAGCCGAAGACAGACGACGGTGGAGGAGGAGGTGGAGGTCGTCAGGGAAAAGGCGAGAGGTAAGCAAGGCGATGAGGCGAGATTGTGAAGCGACCCTTTTGCCGCGCTGGTGGCGGGTCTGCTCCTGGCGAACTGTCGTACCCGCCGCCGCAATCAGCTGGCGCGCCAGCCCGTGCGACGGAAACGGGGCGGTTGCGTGGCGCGGTCCGCGGCCGCTCCACCCTGCGCACTGCTGCGCGATGCTGTGCCGCATGCGCCAACATGATGCAGACCACATTCCTTTCACGACAGAAACGAACGGCAGATGCTCGACGGCAGCGTCGGCGTGACGTCCCAAGACCCCCTCCCACTCACCAGCTAACGTCGTCGTCGCCATGCGCCATCCCGCCGCCGTCGTGGAGAGCAAGACAGATGGCGGCGCTCCCGATCGGAGCCAGGTGCCTAAACTGAAAATCTCGCTGCGCTTGAAGGAGCTAGAAGGGATGCGTAACAGCTTGTGAAGCGCCCACGACCCTTTCCGAAAAAATGTGCTGCAAGACAGTGAAGAATTGAACGACATAGCTGAGCACAGAAACGCAACGGCTGTGGTAAAGGATGATGGAGGCTGCTGTCGGAGCTCTGCCCCCACCCGTCCCCCGAGTCCGAACCCACCACTTCTGGCCAGCAGCCTCCCATACATCTTCCAGGGTCGCACCTGGGCCCATCATTATGCCTAGATATGTCGTTGTGGACTCTATGGAAAATGAAGTCCAGGGCGGGATTTGGTTCTGGAGGTAGAGGGTAATGACCTGGCGCGTTGGAGGACGCGCGAGCCTCCAGAGCGGGGCGATGCAGCACTTTTTCGGTTGCAGAAGGAGGCCAGCAAGAGCAGCAGCAGCAGCAGCAGCGTCAAAGGAGGGGAGGAGAGAACGGAGGTGGTCGATCGATCGAAGTGCTGCCCCCGCATCGTCTGCGCAAGCTCCGGGGTCTTCGCTACCCCCCCCCCGCAGCTTCAAGGCTGGAAACTAAATGACGCACAATGGGGCCCATGCCTAGAGCCCAGAGGGCCCCCGAGAGAGGGCGGCCTTGGGGGGCCCCTGAGCGGAGGGCGAAAAGCTCGCGAACGTCCGAGCCGACACGCATGAAACCGATCGATTCGTGCATTCGTCCCCTGATGGCTGAACGGAACGCGGCAGGGATGCGAAACCTGCGCAACACCTATATCAAAACTGACAAAGACGGGCCTGCGCTGCTCCACGTCTTCCCCTATACTCGCGGACCGCGCCAGCGAGTCCAACCGAACGATGTGTCTGGTAAAGCTTCTGCCATTGACGAAGCCTTGCTGCACGGTATGGGCGTGCTCTTCAGCAACGCGCTTGAGCTGACGATTGACGCATGTGGCCATGGCCTTAGCATCGCAACTCTTCAAGCTGAGTGGGCGCAACGGGCTAGGTTGGCGAGTGCAATCTACAGGGTCGAGGTCATCCTCGCCTTGAGGAATGAAAACGAACATGCTGTGGTTGAGGGTGGGGGGAGGAGTGGAACCGTGAAAGAGCGAGAGGAAAAGAGAGTGGAGGAACATCGCAAGAGACGGGTGCGCAAACCAGGCTTTATATGGGAGCCGATCGGGGCCAGGAGACGAGGATTTGCCATGCGTCAGAGCCCGTCGAAGGTCCGCAGGAGAGGGGAGAGGCAGGTCAACAACCTCGGGGGGGGGGGGGGAAGGTGGGCTTCGATGAAGCGTCTTGTTGCGGGGTATCCTCAACTCTTTCTTGAAACGTTGGCTCCCAATGGTCCCGAATGGCATCTGACATGTTTTGACCGCCACGGAGCACGACGTCACCGCGGCCCTCCTGGGCATGTTGCATTCCCTGGAGAACGAGCCGGCGACCCTGGGACTTCCACGAAAGCGCACGCCGAAAAAGGGCCTGCTTGGCCCGTCCAACACTGCTCGCTTGCCTTTGGGACTCCTCACGATTGCGAGTGCGGGCGAGGGCTTGCTCACTGCGGGCCTCGTTGAGCGCCAGGACCTCCGCCTCGAAGCCAGCTGGATCCCGCGGCGAGACGGTCTCGCCGTCCAGGAGCAGGCGGGCCGCGCCAGCAGCAGTGCGCTCGAGCAGCCGCTTCCCCAGCCGGCGGTCCTGTCGCCAGACAGCGCGCGCAATTGCCCTCATCGCCATGCACCTGGCCTCTATGTCATCAGAGGTGTCGTCGCCAATCGGCGCGCGCATCAGCAGGTTGCGCGCGCCCTCTGCAGCAGTGATCATCTGGCGCCTGACGCACTCCCACTTCTCCGTGTCAGACATGCTGCCAAGGTCGCAGGCGTCCAAGCAGGAGGCCAGCTGTTCCTTGTAGCTGTCGGTACCAAAGATGAAGGCAGGGATGTTATGGCGAGCCTTCGGGGGTTCAAGACGCGGCTCGATCTTGAGCTCCACAATGGCATGGTCACTGACTTTCCAGAGAGCCAGCTCCAGTGCATCATATCGCAAGTTCACGACAATTTGCATCTCCTTTGCGAACTGTGGTGGCGCAGATATGAAACTTCTGTCGATGTACGTCATCTGGTTCGTGTGACGGTCAAAGTGCGTGGGGACTGGCGTGACTATTTCCGTCATCTTGTCAGAAGAGGAAATGAGCTGCCTCCAGAAGGGTTCAGCGCGATTGGCTCGCCCAGCATCCGACCGCCGGGCACCGCTCGCCAGCGGGCGAAGGAGGCTCTCGTTCGGGTTGTCGCTGAAATTGAAGTCACCCAACATCACGAAGAGGTTGTGCGAGGGATTGGCGTGAGCCCACCTGCTGTTCTCAAGCCAACGCGTGCGTATCTGGCACCGACCAGAGTCGCTCAGGTCGTAATTGTGGATGTTGCAGATGCGGACCTCTGTCTGTTGCTTGGCGTTCTTGATGAGCAGGAGTTGAGCACGTCCTTTGGCGAGCACACGATGAGCCACCACTGGAAGAGCATCTTGCCGGAGTCCCCCAGCAGCAGGGACGGGGAGCAGCGTGGCAACACCACCAGCACCCGTTACGCCAGTGCCACTGAAGTAGACCTTGTAGTTAAAGGGTGAGCGATTGATAAGATTATGTAGAGTCATGCCATGACCGTGTACTTCCTGCAAAACGATGACAGCCTTGTGCTTCATAGATTCAAGGAGCTTGTAGATCTTGGCGTTGCGGTGGGCCAGGCTACGGCGCAGCAAGCCACGCGCATTCCACGAGACGATGCGGCACGCGTAGGCGTCGCCTGGTCGTAACCACGGGGTCCATCGGGGGCTAGGAAGAAGACCAGGAGGACGTATCAACCGCGCGGAAGAGAGCCTTGAACTGGTCCGCGATGGCCGCGGTGTCCAAGTTGAGGTCGTTCTTGGCAGCGGGGCTCCACACAAGTTGGGATGGCTGGTCAGGACCTTGTGGCTGGACCTCCGCGACAGGGGTGGTGCCGAAGTGGATGATGCCAGCAGCCCGTTGTGTCCACCAGTCGCCAGGTAAGGCGCCTTGCAGAGGGCGAGTAGCTTTTTCGTCTGGACCTCCTGTCGGATGGCTCGAGGATTCTTGTCACGGTTGACGTAGAGCTTGTCAGGGTTGACGTAGAGCTTCTCATCAGGTCCTTCCATTGTGCGTACCATGAACACTCGCCAGCGGCCAGCATCGCACTGAAGGTGCTTGGCAGGCGAGAGTGCTCGAGCACGACCGTCTGCAGCACCAGGGACGTAAACATGGAAGCGCTTGGAGGGTTCCTTTTCGTTGACGGTGACCTGCTCGGACGTGACCTTGGCAGCCTCCAGCCACGGAGCCAGCGCGTCGGTGATGGCCGCAGGGGTGCAGGTCTTGTGGCAGTTGAGGATAAGCAACTGGGGATCAGCTGGGCGGTCCCAGTCGGCCAGGCGGAGCATATCAGGTCCATCGCTGCGTCCCAGAGAGCCGACATGCGCGAGGGTGGCCTGCATCTCGCGAATATGGCTTGCCATCTGCTGGTTCGCCGCTTCGAGCTGCGCCGAAGAGGCTGTGAGGCGGGCAATGTCCTTCGTGTGCTGGTCGATGCGCTGGACATGCGGGTCGAGCTGTGTCGCGATCTCCCTGCTGATGTCGCTGAAACTGCTGGACGCCGTGGACTGCAGCGCCTCCGTGACATCCTCCATTTGGCGCTTGAGGGTCTGCTGGATGCGCTGCTCGGCGGCGTCCAAGCCAGTGCGCTGCAGGTAGCTGCTGGTCGCGGGCTGTCCACTGGAAGGCGCAGGTGGAGCCGCGACTGTGGGCCTG